AAACTGGCACTCCCTCAGTACGTCATCATGGTAAACAACTTCTTTCACATTATAATAGAAAAGCACTGTCCCATATTTTCCCTGCCTCTTTCATAGGTGGCCTGCCCTGCTCGGATGGAATAATCGGGTGCCCCAATTGAGCACGAGACACAGATCGTTTTGTTTTTCTTTTGTTTGTTGGTCCAATTGGGAAAAAGCTCATATCACTTTGGTATAAAAATCACTGTTAATTATTAGTGAGCTGACAGTTAATTGAATTTCTGCAAATGGTCATTTCAGTTTTAACAAACAAGTTTGGGTCTTAGGAGGTTAAAGCAAGTTAAACTCTTTGTTGATTCTAAAGTTTGTATATGATTCAAGACGTAATAAATTATCTTGACCTTACCAGGTCTTAAAATTAGGTAAGTACAACGTCAGATGAACAACAGCATGTGTGTTATTCTATTTAACAAAACCTAATCCAGCGGCAGAGTGGGGAACGTATACTTCATGATTCAATAGCTTGTAGAATAACCTTCAGCAGCAATAACTGAGCAGTTTGTAATGAGGTGTTTGAGCTGATATGCTGTGTTTGGTTTTCTCCAAATATGGCGCTGTGCATTATAGCCAGTCATCCCCACTTTGGTCTCGTCAGTCCAAAGGATTTGTTCAGATGCAGCTTTGCAAACCTAAACGGTGTTTGTTCGTTTTATAAACAAGTCACACCTTTTCACTCTGTTCCTAATTATACTGTCATCAGCTTTAACATTTAACATGCTAACTAAGGCCTGTAGAGTCTGAGAGATAACCTTTGTTTTTGTTTTTTGTTTTTGTTTTTTGTTTTGTTTTTTTGTTTTGGGGGTTTTTTTGGGGGGGGGGTCTTTTTTTGACAGTTTTTCTGAGCATTGCACAGTCTGATGTTTGGAAGATATTGATACGATATTGTGTTAACACACATGTGAAAGCTGCAGAGCAGCAAACAACTGCCAGAACTCCTGCTTTTATAGAGGTGCTCACACTCGCTGATGATCAGTTAAGCAACTGCATTTGATTATCAGCACCTGGTCGGTACTTACCCTTTTAATTCCTATGGAAGCTGTAAGGGTGTGCTTTGTTTTTCCACACACTGCTACCGCATTTTAGCTCACTTTTGTTAAATAACTAACGACACAGCACTGTAATGTGTTGCTGTATTTACTTTTATGCGAATCATTTTGTATTTTGTACATATTCATGTTGTTTTCTTTGTTCTTTTTAAGTGTACTTTAAGAAGTTTGTGATGCAGTAAATATCAGATACGGGTAACATGACAAATGTTCAGTTTATAAAGGAGTAGGTAATGGATGATACTAGGTTCTAATTTATAAATAATCGGGTATGAATAACTTGAGTTTACTATATAATATTATACTGCAGTATATTTCTAACTAACTAGGCAGTTCATTCTGTTTCTCTTATTTCTCTTCTTTAACACATTTTTTCTAATGACAACCTGAAAGAAAGGAAGACTTGAAATTAGAGGTCAAGTGTGTGGCATGATCTTTGGATGCCAACTACATAGTGGGATATTTAGACATGTCATTTAGTAGTATCATTTCCAAAGTCTTGCCAATACAAACAACGGCAGCAGAATTCAAAGCAAAGTTTTAAATATAAAAAAGACATTCTCTCAACATTTGACCTTATTTGACCTTGAAGAAGAGGTCAAAGGTCAAAGGAATATTATATTTATAATCCCTATATATCACTCTCTATTTGTCTATATATTGTCAATACAAGCAATGGCAGTGCTAAACATAGTTTTAGAAAGCTTTATGTAGTATTGTTGTCACTAACCGTCAGATTAATCTACCGGCCTTTGAGAAAAGGTCAAAGGCCAGATGTGACATGATTTTTTTTCAATCTAAATTCTAAATAAATTATTTTTCTTTTTTTTTGTTCATGTTTTTGTCTGACAGCAGAACATAAAAACATTGACTACAGGAATAGTTATCCCCATACAGTCACGTCTCTGTCCTGTTTGTTGAATGGTACTTAAAAAACCATAACGCACAAAAGTGAAAACAAAATCACAAACAAACAAACATTTAAAAAAGTAAAAACAGAGTGTTTATAAACTTAGCTTGAGCTTGACCTCTGGGTATACTAAACGTTTACATCCAATACAAAATACATATCACAATATCTGTCTAAACAGACCTATCCTCTATGTAGTGCAAGAAGGGACCCCAGACCTGATCAAAGATATCTTCTCTCCTCTAAGTTACCTGTTCATATATAGCCATTTTTTTCAGTCCATTCCTTAAAGCAGCAAGAGTTAGATGACGTCCAGTGTCCCATTATTATCCTGCACCTTGTTATGGCGGCCAGACACACCCACAGCTTCTGTCTTCCAGATAGATTCATGCTATCTGGTAACAGACTCAGGACACACAAAGCGGGAGACTTCGAGAGATCAAATTGAAAAGGACCTTTCAAAAGGTTAATGATCCCATCGCACATGTGGACATTTTTTTCACATGCATACAGCATATGAACTAAAGTCCCAGCTTCTTTCTGACACTTCCAGCAGGTGTCTTTGTCAACTAAATTCAGTCTGAATAGTTTGCTAGGGGTCCAATAGCTTCTGTGGAGTAATTTGTACTGGATACGCTGTGATTGCGTGTGGCATGAGCAACCATACCAACATATAACCAGCTTCTTCCAACTGTCCTCTGAAATCTGGATTCCCAAATCTCTCTCCCAGCCCAGCTTCAGCCCCTCTAGACAGGCGATTGTGCCTCTCTGAAGATCCCACAGAATTTAGACGGTTTGGTTACCAAATAAATCCCCCAACTTAATTCCTGCACTAGCCTACGTGAACGGTTTCTTACCAATTAATAATTTCTTATTATACCAAATAGAGGCTCTAGAGGTAAGATAAGGATTGGTATTAATGAACTGGTGAGCTCTAAACCAAGTCTCTTGTTTAAAAGCCAGTACTGGTCTTCCCCTGTGAGAGAAAAAGGCCTCTAAAGATGTTTGAGTCACTAGGCTTTCCTCAGTCACTACCCAGCATGAGTTATTTATCTTAGCTAATTGGGAGAGAGAAAACGCATAACCAGTCCATCTTGGATAGTGCTAATCCACCACTATCTTTGACAGCATGTACTTTGGACCAAAGAAAGACTGTTTTTGCCTGCGCACACATACCCCCCCACAACTGTATTATAAAGCTTGAAGAGGTTGTGTGGAAACATTATAGGTAACTTAAACAGATTATACTGGAGCTTTGGGGAAACAATCATCTTTACTCCATCTTTTCCTCCAAGCGGGAGATTCTGTTCAGTTTCATTAAGAGACTCAATTCCACCTTTCACTGCGTTCATGTCATGAGCTGTCAGTTCCAGAATAGATCTTATGCAAGTCAACTCAGCAGCCACATTATCTTTGGATGAACTCCTAACGTCAGCTCCATCTAGTGACTCAGCTATTCTGGATAACGAAGTAGCCTGAGAATTGTTGGCTTTCCCTTTGCGAGGTACTCGGCCGGGTATGTGTGAAATAATGACTTTTCTAACTCATTCCACTGCAATTGCAGGACCTAGACCAAAAAAAAAAATCAATGGACTTTAACTTATTTTTTTCCGAGAGTTTGGGAGGAATACGAGCTTTGCTCCGACTTAAGCTGCCATCCTGGGCCGGCGTACCACGTGACCCTCATCTAAAGTCTTTCTATATGTTGACAGTACACACAACACTTTTCAGAATAATATTTTCTAAATGATAAGGCCTTTTTTTTACTCATGAATCATTAAGTTAACCTTAAAGACTTTGGTGAATGTAAAGCAAATTTTGCAGCTGGCAGAATGACACACACACACACGCTACATGACCTCCTCTGCGGAGGTAATAAACAGCAAGTGAATTCAGACACAGACCACGGTCTCTGGGTTCACAGCATGTGATATATCCCACCTGCCTCTTTATTCCAAATTAGAACATTATCATAGCCATCTAAGTAATGGATGAGCGCCGGTACTTGCAGAGAACTGTGTGAAACTTTAAAGCTAAAGATATTCTTTACACAACTAAATTATGATCTTTCAGAGAAATATGACTTAAACCAGAGTAGTGCATATCCCTTAATCCCAATGACACATTCCTGTGTGGAATAAAACTTCATCAGTGGTCTTCCAACCTACATTGAGATCTGACAGGAAAATAAAAAATATTATTGTCTGAAGATCAATAGCAACTTTCACCAGTTCTGATTCTGTGATATGATGTGCTGTATGCCCCGACTGCAAGGAGGTACAGGTAATTTGCAAAAGCTTTTTCAAGGATTTCAGGGTTAGGCTGGATCGTTGGATCGATGACGTATCGTTGAGTAAAATTGCTGGATCGAGAATACACATATGACACCCTATTTGATAAGCTGAGTTCAGTGATTGGAAATGAGCCAGAGAAACCTTTGGAAAGGATGATTTTAGATTTGCATCTTTCCATTTGATTTCATATTTTCTTTAAAGCACATGCGTGTAAAGTGTACCATGGGGCCTTGCTTCCTTTGGTCCATGACCTTTTCAGGGGTGAGCTTATTTGCTTGTGTGTTTTTTTTGTTTGTAATGTATTACTTACATCATGTTGAAGTTAAACTCTCAGACCTATGTATATAGATACATCTGAAACCATATTAGACATTTTCTTTTGTGTAGAGAAAAAAAAAACATTTACAGTTTTCAGTAACTTTAAGATCAGCCTGTGGTTATTGCAAATTATTACAACTGGTCACATAATTAGGCCATATTTACATGCTGTGCTCAAATTAACACCTTGAAACAGAGCAAATGTTGAATGGTGCTTTGACCATGCACAGGTGATCTTTATCCCTCCCTCATTTCCCTCCTCCCTCCCTCCCTCCCTTGGGAGCTACAAAGCTAGATCCATGGTGATGTGCTATTACTCAGCTGCTTCGGTCACACCCACCTTGTGCCCTCCCCTCCCTTCACTCTGCTTATAATCAGCCAACAGCCCAAAAATAAGAGCAGAATCCTGAAAAAGTCTCTTGCAAGTTGTTTACACATAACACAGTGCCACAGCCACAGAAGCGAGACGTACGTTTCACAGTGTGGGTCATTTTTGTGAGGACAGCAAAACAACAAACCCCTGTGCTCCTGTTACCTCACGGTGCGCCCCCACAGCAGCTGCCTGAATCACAGCAGTGAAGGCAGGAGCCGGAGAACGTCCTCGGATAACACTTGAGAAAAGGTAGGCCGCTTCACTTGGATTCGTTGCTGTTTAACTGTTCTATGAGGCTGCTTCTTGTGAGCGTGCAAGTCTGGCTATTTTGTATGAGAGCTGTACCCGCACAGGGAGAGATCCACCCAACAATGATCCTTTGTCTCCTGAGACCTGCCTGCAATTATTCTGTTCAATGGGATCCTTTGAGATTTCTCCATCTGTGTTTTCTTTGATGGTGGTTGTCGAATTGGAGACAGTTTAGAGGTTCCATTTAAAAACACAAACACAACACGTCATGTTTAACGCATAAAGTGTAAAATATCTCACCTCCAGACAAGACTGCTTCTTCCAGTCAGTACGCCGTTGGGTCCTTTTACAGTAATCACGGAGGCATTTTGAGATTATTCTGTGACTTGGGCTCATTAATACATCACCAGGCCCACTCCTCAGTGTCAGAGTGAATCAGTGACCTTAAGGAAGCAGGAAGAGCTTGAAGGAGTGAACAAGCTAAAGTTTGGGGGAGTCAAGGCAACAAGTCATTATGCTTGGAGCAGTATCCTGGCATCTGAATGTATGATTAACTTGATGACAACCAGCTTTACTCAAACAGAGCAGCAGAGCTAAATTATTAGAGAAACTACTTCCTGATTTTGGTTAATGTGATATGTTTGGATGAATGGATGTTTGGTGTAAGCTGATAGGGAAGAACTATAAAGGCTGCTGTGGTTTAAATTTTCCAAGAAAGGTAATGCAGAAGACAGCCTGCTGCTGTACACAGGCGGATTCTGCTCAGTCATAGCTGTTAACAACTTGTCTTGTTTCCTCCCACCACACAAAGAGTGCTGTTCCCATTCTGGGAGATCTACACACACACACACACACACACACACACACACACACACACACACACACACACACACACACACACACACATTTGTAAGTGACAATCTTTAAGTGACTCAAAACAGAGGGTGGTAGGAGAAGACTTAGTGACAGCATGCTGTCATCTGTGTGCCTGAGTTTGATGGATGATGCATTGGAGTAAAGAGCCTTGTACAGAGTTAGCGAAAGGGTTGTCACACTACACCTCAGTTTAGCCTAAACTCAAACATCAACTCACCCCCACAGCATGTTCAGGGAATGGTGCGCTGGCTGGCCACAGAGTTCGCTCCCTATGCAAATACATACACTGGTGTCTTTACTAGGATCTATACCCTCTTTATTCTTAACATTTAAAAATATTATGAAAGGACATAGCAAGTGCACTGGTGAGATGAAAAAAAAAAAGTCCACAAATAAGGAATATTTGCTTATCAATAGTATTCATCTTCCGAATTTGGTTCCTCCCCTCCTTTGCATGCCGCTGGGCTTTTTTGTTTTGTTTTGTGCGGTGACAAACTTTCCAGTATAGAGTGAGATTTACTTCCTCTATCGTCACCTCTCTTCTCCGATTACTGCTAAACCAAAAGCGCTCACAGTTACATGTGCACCGTGAGTGACCTTATAGTATAAATGACAGGCTCAAGAGTTTAAGATAAGTTATTAAGCTCACAAAGACTAAAAGGTGACAAGAGTTTGAAGCTACCCCACCCTGTGGCCTCCCTGCTCACAGAGCAGCTCTACTAATTCATTGGCTAATTTGCTTCTTCAAGGAAGAAGTGAAACCTGAGACAACAGGTGAGCAGGATGATTAATGCTCTTTACAGAAAAACACATTCATGCAGGTAAAAGCAAAGTGTTGCTAAATAAGTGCTCTTAGTGAGATAAAACCAGACTAAAGTTTAAAAATGTGTCTCTATCATTCTTCCTCTGACTGTAGGTAGAAATATCAGCAGCAAAAATGGGATGCTTTCAATTCCTCAAATTCATGATGTTTGCGTTCAACGGCATCATCTTTGTAAGTAAAGACTCTCATTGTTTTATAATTTTATTTAAGTTTGAAGGATGCTGACAGTTACTTACAATTTTCTTTAAGTGTGACTCAGCAGTACTGTGTAGTCTGAATGTTGTACAAAAGCATACAAATACAAATCACTGGTTATTTTTACACCACCAACAAGAGTTGTAAACTGTAAATTGCACATTACAAATATTTTCAGAACATTGAGTATTGGACTTATCTATTTTAAAGTTATTAGAGTAAAAATGCATTTTCTACAAGACAGTCTCAAGGCAAAACCCTCCCTGCCTAAGTCTTAACAGACAAAAGCATGGTAGCAGTCACCGTGACAAAAAAGACTGTCTCTTATGCATAAAATCTGTGAAGTGCTCTTTTAACTTCTCCACCCTCCACATGTTTCTTCTTCAGCTGGCAGGTGCTGCCATCCTGGGTGTTGGGATCTGGGTGAAGGTGGATAGCGGTTCCGTCCTTACCTTTCTTGGGAAAATTGACAACATGCCAGCAGAGCTAAGCCAGGTGCTCAATGTGGGCTACCTGTTGATTGCAATTGGGATCTTGCTAGTCGTCATCGGCTTTCTAGGCTGCTGTGGAGCCATGAGGGAGAGCAAGTGTATGCTACTGCTGGTAGGTTGTTGCCTGCTATTTTATAGAGGCTTAAAGAAATACTTTGACATTTTGGCACACTTTCTTGATTGTAGAGCCCTTGAAGGTCAATAGGGCAGTAATTTTTATTTTATGGGAACAAGTCACCCTCAGTACACAAGTCCATTCATCTAGTACAAACATAATAATTCATTGTGTAAAATGCATACAGCCAACAAATAAGGGAGAGGACTCACCAGCCTGGTTTCAGTTTTGAGTTTGAGTTTGAGTGACAATACAGAGGTTACGATATAAAGGTTAAGGAACTATGTTGTCAGTTATTGCTAACAAGCTTAATTAGCAAGACATATCTATAAACTCTAACTGAGAATTTTTGGTACAGCAGTTGTGACCTTTAGCAAATGTATGGTCTATAAAATTACCTGAATTGTACATAATTACCAGTTAACAATATAAGCCTTGGGCTTCAGTTCAAATCCCTATCCTTATGAAGACACATGTAGGATCTTTCTTTTAGTATTATAAACACAAAGCCGACAACACAAAGATGAAGACCAGCCCAAAGAGACTTCAAAGCGAACACCACAGTGATCCTACTTTAGAAACATAAACAGGTAGAAACAGGCTGGAGCCTCACTGCTCATCTGTTTATTACCTGCTGAAGTTCACGGTATGGCTGCTGGGCTAGGGTCAGCAAGTGCTACACTTTAACATCACTCAGGGTTCTTGGCTAGCTTTGCATTAATGTGTTGTCCATGCAGATGCTTGCAAAGACCTGAAGCGTAATGTGGTTGTTTCTGTCCTAGATGCAGTTTGCACTTTACCATTGCATCCTTGTCCTTTTGTGCAATAGGAATAAAAGTAATGTCTATATCAACAATGCAGACCATCATTTTCTTCCTCTCGTACACAAACTGAGATCAGCTTTTCTCCACGCTTCTCCAAGGACCAACAACTCAAGCTAGGGTTGCCCACAGGCTGGATGGTTGTGACACTGTTCTCTAGAGACAGTAAACAACTACAACATGTAAACAACAGTTTGCAAAACTTTATTCTAGTCTGTGCACAGAGGCACTACAGAGCAATAGTTTACCCTGAAAAAGAGAAACAGACAAACACAGATGTGTGCTACCTGCTACTTAGACCACATGTTACCCCCAGCTATAGCAAGTAATAAGTGCAATCACTGCAGTAATAGTGGAGTTTCTTTTTCTTTAAGGTAGAATATGTGGAGCCATCTATCCGACACCAGCTTGACCTGGAGTTTTGCCTTTAATTTTTGTACTGAAAACACTGCTGCAGCAGGTTAACGAATACAGCTTGATCCGTGATCTCTGTATGGATAATTTACCAAGAAAATTACACAACAGTGGCAGGACAGATTGCTGGTTTGTCTGCTTATGCCCACTTCTGCTATCTTGAACTGTGAAGTTGGTGTTGGTGTGGCTGCTCTGACCATCAGAGTGGGAAGTCTGACTTCCTGATCATTTCAAAAGAAAACTCATGATTCCTGACTTTCCACCTCAAATGGATCAAAGCATAAGTAACAAGATGAATAGCTGTATTGTTTAATCACCAAAATGAAGAACAAACGTTTTTGGAAGTCTGTTACAGGAAGCACGCAAAATTATTAGGAACGTAATTAGTTTTCGCACTTCAGCTTTGGCTTCGTGTTCCACCTTCTGAGATTGCTGCTTGGTTAGAAGAGGGCTACTAAGCTCCCCACCAACACTTTTGGTATAGCCAGTTGCTGGCTATATCTCCATGTTTGTTTGTAATTCTTTACGCAAGAAAATTAATTTATGGATACTTTGTGAAAATAAAAGGTCAAAAAATTTCTTTTAAAATGCTCTCTCAAACAAGTTTTTTTCTATTCTTTTTTATTTAAGCTACACTTTAAACAAACCCATTCCAGTAATGGATATTCTTATCTCCTCAACAGTTTTTTATCATAGTCTTGTTGATCTTCATAGCAGAGGTGGCAGGAGCAGTGGTTATTTTGGTATTCAGACCACTGGTAAGTCTCCAAAGAACTTACAGAGATAATCTTAGTAGCTGCATTATCATGACTATTTGAATGCAAAATTTGCTTCATGTGTGTATGTTAGGCTGAGGAGCTGTTTAACAAGATTGGTCAGGAAGCAGTGAAGAGCATCAAGCAGGGCTATGGGAACAATACTGACATCACAGGACTGTGGAATTCGACAATGAGCACGGTACAAAAATCTGCTAAACAATAAAGTCAGTGGCTTCTGTTTTCAGCAACACTTTTGGTAACGTGCCCACTTTTTCTGTCTACACTAGTTTAAATGTTGTGGATTCTACAACTCATCAGAATTCAAGGAGTCTCCTTACTATAAAAACCACAACAATACATTTCCACCACAGTGCTGTTTGAACCCTGGAAGCACATGTACTGATGGGGTAAGGACAATTCAAAGTAGTAGAAAAAAAATAATTCAAAATGTCTTTATAATTACGATATCTCTTTAATCTCAACCTACTACATATTTTCTTTAGACAATCACTGGTTGCTTCCCAAAGATCCGGAAGCTGATTGACGATAACACCGCTGCTATAGTGGGAGTGGCGCTCGGGATTGCAGCTCTGGAGGTATGACACCACTGTTACATTAGGTTGAACTATATGGTAAATGGATGTTTCATTTTTCTCCTTTTGGCACCTTTTCTTACCTTATTTTTGAAATTTTATTCCCTTCAGTTATGTGCCATGGCTGTCTCAATGATCCTTTACTGCAGGATAAAATCTGAAAGTGTCTAACTACAAAGGACAAAGGCCTGAGAGAAATCCTTTAAATCACTGGAATCTTTCTATTTTTTTTATCACTTCCTGTAATGAAAGTCTTGTGCAATCAGATTTAATAATTTAATGTAACAAATCTATTTTTGCTACATTTAAATCTAGCTAATAGATGCGATTAACAAATGTATTTTATCCATGTAAACATCTATGTATGTATGCTATCTACTTAATCAGCTAAGCACACTGTACACACACACACACACACACACTGTGTATTTGACCAATGATTATTTAATGTAGTCCGTTAATGAGGAATTCAGTGATAAATGTATTCATTGTGATAATGAAACAAAACCTGTTGTCAATGTTGGGCACTGAAAGGGGGATTTTTTTCTTTGTTTGCTTGTGTTCGTTTTGCACAATTCAGCTTGTAAATTAGCACCAAAGTTGATACATGATATGTTTATATGGTCTAAAAGTGACTGATTCTTAAATAAAGTCCACATTTCTGGGAGTTTTTGAACTGGCTGCAAGCATTTGTGCCATTTTACAGAAGCTATGAGGTAAGAAGGGACTAATTTATTATTTATTACACTTTATTACACAAGAAAACACATTGGACATATAGAGGTTACCTTTTACTTTTAACTAGAGAGTTTAACTTATCTGAAACCATTAAGACAGGAAACATGAGCCTAAATGTGAAATTCTACATGTTTTTGTATAACTTGGAGCAAATGGCAGCTTTAATTTAAAATAAGAAGGCTTCTATGTTTGACTCAGGCAGCATGAATTACCTACATAGAAACTGTTAGCAGAGCTGAAGTTTCTCATCCTAGTTTAGTCGTGTATAAATTTGGACTCTGGCTTCATTGGACACTTAGAGTCTGGATAGAAACTTCCTGGTGCTGAGTGAACAGTTGATCTTTGGAATTTGCTGGTTAATAAAAGTACAGGACAAGGGTTAAATGACTTGTCTAAGACAATTTGCCTGCAAAGATTTCCACCATGTAGTAAATACACTTAACAGCCATTACATTAGTTACACCCGTGGCCCTCCTTTCCCTTTCAGAACTGCCTTTGTAGCACAGATTCAACAAGCTGCTGGAAACATTCCTCAGATCATTTGCTCCATATTGATATGGAGGCATCACACAGTTGCTGCAGATTTGATATGAATCCATGATGTGAATCTCCTGTTAAATCACATCCCAAAATAGATTGAAATCTGGTGACCGTGGAAGCCATTTATGTTCAAGAAAGCAGTTTGAAATGATTTGAGCGTTGTGATGTGTTGCATTATCCTGCTGGAAGCAGCAGAAGATGAATACACTGTAATCATAAAGAGATGGACATGGTCAGCAATAATAGTTGGGAAGGCTGTGATGTTTAAACAATGCTCAGCTGGTATTAATGATCACAAAGTGTGCCAAGAAAATATCACCCATCAGCCTGAGCTGATCAGGAGGGGTCCATGCTTTTATGTTGTTTTCCCCAAAATCTGACCCAATACCACAAATGGAGACTCATCAGATCAGGCGATATTTTTCCAGTCCCGTATTGTCCAATTTTGGTGAGCCTGCACAAATTATAGCCTCAGGTTCCTGTTCTTAGCTGACATGAGGGGCACCTAGCGAGCTCTACTGCTTCAAGGTTTGCTTTGTTGTGTGTTCAGAGGTGCTCTTCTGCATACTTTGGTTGTAACAAGCAGTTATTTGAGTTGCTGTTGCCTTTCTGACCATTCTCTCTTTTTTTTGATACTTTTTATTTATTTATTTAGGAACATTTTTATGCAGAAAACCCCCCCAAAAAAACAAAATATTATGAGATCATGGGAAGACAATATATGCCCGTGTATACAGCTGCACATCCACACATACATATCAATACTTTGGTATTGCAAGTTCTATGCATTAAAGAGCGCTGCCACAATTTGTAAAGCCCAGCCATTTTCTCCAACGTCTCCTTCCCAAGTCTCCCTGAAGTCGCAGGGTGAAAGTCATACATTCCATCAATTTGATGTCTTCCACTGTAGAGCTAAAAAGTATTATAGTGGGAGGGTCTTTACAAAGCCGGCGTTTTGTTATAGCCTTTTTGCAGATGCCAAGAGAATTCTCAGGAGATAAACATCATCTGTAACTAAATCTTCTGCAAAATATCCCAGATACAATGATGCGAATGTACAAGTCACATTGAATCCAAGTACCTTTGTGATTATTTTTACAACTTCCATCCAGAAGGGTCGTATGGATGGGCAGGACCAGAATATGTGTCTGTGGTCTGCCATGACTTCCCCACAGTTTCTCCAACAAAGCGCAGGTGTAGCACTGAATTTAGACTTTTGTTTAGGTGTTATGAAAAAGCGTATAATGTTCTTCCAACAAAAGTCCCGCCACATGTTGGAGTTAGTTGTGGTAAACTGTGTTTCCAAAATCCGTGTTCACCCATCTTCTGTAATCTCGATGTCCATTTCTTTTTCCCATTTCTGTTTTATGTAAATTGTTGAGTCCCTTTTGAGCTTAGTCATACATTTGTACAGTTTACTTATCAGGGCTTTGTTACTCCCAGAGTCATAAGCGTCAATGAAGATGTTAACAATCGAGAAGTCTCCAGGGACACAGCTGTTTATTCTTTTGCCAATATAGTCACGGAATTGCAAGTATCGGAAAAAGTCTTGTTTCTCGAGGTCGTAAGTCTTGCATAGGTATCAAAGGCCATAATTTTAGATTTTATGATAACTGAACACACAGCAGTAATTCAATGCCATACCCATTGTCTAAATCTACTGTCGTGGGAGGCAGGTAAAAAATCAGGGTCGTACACTGGCCACCTCAGAAGTTTTATCTCTTCCTGAAGTTGTGCCTGCTTGACCACTCCCCTCCATATCTTTAATGTAAAATTGACCCATTGGCTGGTTGTCAAGATATTGTCCAACTCAGAAGCTGCGTGACCAAGTCTAGACTGGATCGGTGTGTCCGAGAGAGACATCTCAATCGCCTTCCACCTTGCACAAAAGGATGGGTTACACCAACACACCAAAGACCTCAGCTGAGCAGACAAGTAGCAATCCCTTAATGAAGGTAGAGCCAAGCCCCCTTTCTCCTTCGGCAACTGCAAAGTAGAAAACTTTACCCTTAGTCTTTTGTTAAGCCAAATGAATCTCGAAATCTGTTTATTCCATTCCCTGAACTGCTTCTCTGGAATTGGAATAGGTAAAGCAAGGAAGAGATAGAGTAATTTAGGAAGAATGCTCATTTTAATTATCTGTATCCTGTTGCCAAAGTCGAGAGGGAGCAGGCTCCAAATGTTGAGGTCACTGTATATTTCTCTATTAGGACGACTGTAATTAATATCATACAGTTGTGTTAGGTCTTTAGGCAGGAACACTCCTAAATATTTGATAGTGGTTGCCTTCCATTTAAACTTGAATTCTGACAATAGTGTCTGATCTGGAGAGAAATTAAATGTCAGAACTTGTGTTTTTTTGACATTAAGAACATACCCTGAATATAAGCCATATGTTTCTAACATCTTCATTAATACTGGTACACCTGAGCTGGGGTCTGTGATTGTTACCAAGACGTCGTCTGCGTATAGACATACCTTGTACTTGTCCCCTCCTATTACAATCCCTTTCAACGATGTTTCCTGACGTATAGCCTGGGCTAGGGGTTCGATAAACAAATTGAAGAGATAGGGACTTGCTGGGCACCCCTGCCTGCATCCGCGTTCTAAAAATATGGTATTGGAGAGACTACCGTTAATTTTTATTCTGGCAGTAGGAAGAGAATAAAGAGCTTGGAAACATTTTATAATTTCACTACAGAAACCAAATCTTTTCATCACTAGAAAGAGAAAGTCCCAATTCACTGAATCATAAGCTTTTTCAGCATCTAAGCTAAGAATAATTGAGCTATTTTTCCTATTATTAATGTGTTCGATGATATGTAAAGCTCTCCTAATATTATCATGGGTTTGTCTATTTTTCAAGAAACCCGTTTGGTCTTCATCAATTAATGAAGGCATTACAGCATCCATTCTTTTTACCAGAATAGTTGTGTATAGTTTGTAATCTGAGTTCAGAACACTTATTGGCCTATGAGATTTGGAATTTATTCTATCCTGTCCCCCCTTTCACAAAACAGATATGAAGGCCTCCTTCCAGGAGGGAGGTACCAGTCTTCCTTTCAAGATATAATTAAAACTGGTTTCCAACAAGGGTAGAAGGAACTCATGGTTTTGTACCATTCGGCAGGGAACCCGTCGGTACCTGGTGACTAATTGGAATTAAGGCTAGAAATAGCTTTAATTATTTCCTCCTGAGATATTAAAGACGTTAACCTATTATTTGCTTCCCGACCAATTGTAGGCAGGTCTAAAGAGTTCAAAAAGTCAGTTATCTTATTTACGTCACCCTGGATAGACTGGCTATATAACGATTTGTAATACGTTTCAAATGCTCTTTGAATTTTGTCCAAGTCAGTTACAACTTTATTACCAACTGGGTCTCTAATCTTATAAATAGTATTTTCAGCTTGCTGTTTTCTAATCCGCCATGCTAGCCGCTTCGCAGCTTTAGGTCCCGCCTCATAATATCTCTGTTTCATAAATCTTGTGTTTTCCTCTACTTCTTCACCTAATATCTTATCTATTTCCTGCTTGATCTGTCTGATCTGGTGGGTTACTCTTGTATTTTTATCCTTCAGACCTGACTGTTCCAAGACCTTTAATCTATCCTGCAGTTGTAACAGTTCTTGTGACTTTTTCTTTTTAAGCATGGTTGACCATGCAATTATTTTTCCTCTGAGGACAGCTTTAGCTGCATCCCACACGATACTGGGGTTTGTCTCTCCATTATCGTTGTCCTGCAGGTACAAGTTAAGATCAGCTATCATTTGTTTCACAAAAGCGGGATCATTTAACATACCAGTATTTAGTCTCCACAAGGTTGTCCTCCGTTTCCCATCCAAATGTAATGTTATATAAATTCCACTGTGGTCAGAGAAATCTCTTGGACCTATTCTGTAGTCTTTTATCCTGTTTAATAGAATAGAATAGAATAGAATAGAATAGAATAGAATAATCCTGTAATTGTCCCACAAGGGGAAATTTGGTTGTAACAGCAGCCAAAGAGACACATATACAAACAAACAGTACACAGGACACAGAACAGGAACTTACACAATTTTTACATATTTACATCAAGCACAGTGGTTACTATATACAGAGAGTACTGTACAGTTATTCAATTCAATAAAAATAACTACAGATAAGAGGCAAAGCAGGTTGTAGTGCGAATCGGTTAATTAACTTATTGCAGTTACAGCATTGATGTAAACATCTATTTAATCCCTATTAAACATAAAACAGTAATCTATCCTTGAGTACACTTGGTGTCGAGCAGAGTAAAAGGTAAACCCTGATGCTGACCCATGAATAGACACATCAATAAACCCTAATTCCGTTAACATTCCTTTAACTTGTTTCTCTCCAGACGTGCTTTTCCTGCCACTATTATTT